TTCCCAGTGAATACTCAAGAATACACTTCAAAATCCAAAGCACATAAACCCTAAACTTGTCTAATTTCATTATCAGTGGTCAATTGAATCCCAAATTCGTATAAACTTGTCTAAATTCATTATCAGTGGTTCAATAAATCCCAAATTCGTATCGAAATTCAAACATATATACACTCAATTTCAAACATTGATCAAGAGAAAACAAAACCTCTTAAACTTTTCTCAAGCATCTTAGAGTCATTGATATCTACTTGAGAAAACTCAGAATTCTCTCCCAATTTAGCCACCATTGCTTCACCTTTCTCTCTGCAAATCAAACGAATTTCAAGCTTGTTCGACATTTTCTCGGGAAAAAATCAATTTTTTACAAATCTCGCTAACCTGTTACGTCCACCAACGACGATGCTTAGCTTGGGACATATCTTAGAAAGAGCTACAGCAGTAGACCCGCCTACCCGACCCGTTCCACCCAAAACCAAGACCCGATAGTTCCGGGTAGGATCCGAAAGCTTAACCTCAGGAACGACGTCGTGTTCGATCGATGAAGATGCTCTTACCGTCGCTCTATACGGATGCAGAAGCAGAGCTCGAGCCATTCTCTCTCTCGCTTGCTCTTTTTCTCACTTGCCGGTTATCTCATTAGCAGTTTTATCGAAGACAATGATGACGTGGCGATTTTTGATGCGTGTCAAATTTCAGACTTTGCGAACCAGTAAAATATTTGGGCTTTTTTTCAGCCCAGTAACTATACAACTTGGCCTGACAAATGCGTAAGTCAACCAGAGAAAATGGCCTAGTTTCCATTTTTTCCTATGTTTAATCGTTTTCTGAATATTAAAATTAGGGTTAATTTGTGAAATAACCAAAAAATAATAATAATTAAGATATTAACTAAAATTGCTTTCTGTGGCACAATTATAACCATTAAATTTAGGATAATTGGTTAGTTTTATAATTATATAATTTTTGTTAGTTATTCATGCTAATTTCCCTTAAAATTAAGGATTTATATGCTAAAAATAAAATGACATAATTCTGATCATATTTGCTAAGACAATGAAGTAACATTTTTTTGCTTATTCGGGCTTGAATTTTAGGCAATTGCAAAAATTTCTACCTAATGTTTGAGACAGTATATTTACATACCCGAACTCACTTAAAATTCAAATTTTCCTACCCAAACTTATAAAATTAGGCGTATACATACCTAACGAGTAACAATGTTAGTTTATCCGATAAATGTGCTGACTGGGATGTTGAGTCATTTGACAAGTCATATGAGTTTCGGTTTATTTGTGCCCTAACTCTAGACATGTGTGTAAATACATTCCCAAAGTCTAAATATTTTTGTTCTTGATGATTTCGTATTTGTTATGGTAAAAATCTCCTTAACATTATTTATGAAGTGATTTTAGAGAAAATGTTTATGTGTCAACTCCATAATCACTTTCACCGTTTTATTTATTAAACGACAACT